CAGGTAATTTGAGGTGAGTGGTTGGGAATGGCAGGCTTCCCGGTGCTCCTGTAGAGCAGGAACCAGCCGTCTGCCCCCTCCAAGGCCAGGCTCCGGGTCTGGGTCGACATGGTGCTGCTTGGCCTGTGTATGGGTGGCGCTGGCCTGGGACCCCATGCCGTCGTCCTTGAGGTCTGAGCGATGCGTCCATGTCCCTTCCCATCCTCTCCCCTGCCCTGGGCTAGATGCATGCTGGATGCTTTGAGCCACACAGACCATGAGAAGAAAATGAAACGCACACGGGGCTTCATTCTCTTCCTGTCACATGGCTGTGTCCTCTCCCGGGGACCCGCGTGACCCAGTCCGTCCGCACGCGTGGGGAGGCCGCTGATCCCTTTTTTTTTCCATCCCGTCGCGGGGCTGCCTGCCTTGCACGCGGGGGCCGTGTGTCCAGGCGGCGACAGCCAAACCAACCAGACTCGGCTGTTTTACATTTTCCTCTCAGCTCCTCCCACGTGGCCCCCGACCACGGTGGGTGCCACGGGCGCCGTGAGCAGTACCGATGCTACTGCCACTGCTGCCGCCGCCACCGAAGCCACAACAGTCCCCATCGCCCCACCTGTCGCACCTACCACCATCGCCACCACCGTCGCCACAACTACCACCACCACTGCCGCCGCCACCATGGAGAGTCCTCCCACCACCGGGACTAAGACACATGAATCCGGTACTGCCCGTTGTCCACGCTCCCGTTTCTCTGCCCGCAGGCTTCCCAGACAGGAGGGGTCTGGGATGTGGTGGCCAGCACCGCCCTTCGTTTCCACTTTGAAAACACACACAACTGGGTTGTCAGCCTGGTAGCCGAGTGGCACAGGGTACCCCTCGCCCTAGCCTCAGACCCTGTCCTTTAACAGAGGGCCATGCTCCTCGGGCAGGATCCCCGGTCCCAAATGGTAGGGGTCCCTCCAGCCATATGCCAGGCAGTCAGCTCAGGGCTGAGCGCTCCAGGAGGGAGAGAATGTGGGGAAGGACAGGGGCCTGACACTGGACAGCTGTCCTAAGAAGGCCCCCTGCCCTGGCCATGTCACAGCCAGCCATGCAGCACGGAGGGCCGAGGAGCGGGCAGTGGCTGGCCATGCCAGGGGGCTGTTCCCAGAGCCCTGCTCCTCCCTGGCCCCTCTATCCGCAGGTCTCACTTACACTCTCTTCTAAAAAGTCAGAGCTTCCAGGAAACACTAAGAAGGCCCCCTGCCCTGGCCATGTCACAGCCAGCCATGCAGCACGGAGGGCCGAGGAGCGGGCAGTGGCTGGCCATGCCAGGGGGCTGTTCCCAGAGCCCTGCTCCTCCCTGGCCCCTCTATCCCCAGGTCTCACTTACACTCTCTTCTTCTAAAAAGTCAGAGCTTCCAGGAAACGGTATTGCCCCAAGGTGCTCTGCTCTTCCCACTCACACTCCCAGTGCCTCCACAGGCACATATGGGGGGCTGGGGGGGTGACCACAGCCTCTCCAGGGGCCCCGGTAAGAATCGATCCCAGGCTGGCCTGCTGGGCCCGGATGTGCTGTTCCCGCATCACAGAGCCAGGCCAGCGGCTCTGTTCTTCCCACACGAGGGGACCCCTTGGGAATCTGGCAATATTTCTAAGAACTGAGCGTCAACACTCTTCTTACCACGGAGGGGAGGGCCTCTCGCTTGCAGAGCCCTCGGGCCAGCTGTAAAGTCATGTGATGCAGCCGGAGGGCTGGCAGGAAGCACCTAGAACCTTCCCAGCAGCCGTTTTCTGGGCAATTCCCTTCCCCTCTGAGGCCTGCCTCCCACCTTGCCCACTTCTCTTGGCGTGAGCTAGAGGCCTGATCCACGTGTGTTTTCTTTAATTACATGGAGCGATGTAAACTGTAAGGGGAGGCAAGTGGTTCGTAGCTGACATGCCCCCCAGACCTTGAAAACGCTGACTCACTTTAAAAGTGCAGGACCCAGAATTTAAACAACATGCACTTTAGGAAATAGTTGGCTGAGGAGACACCTGCTAGGCTGTTAGAAGCTGCCACCAGCGTTTGGTGATGGATATTCTTGGGGACCCCCAGTGAGGTATCTTTTGCATTAAAGTGGGGCTTCCCGTCCCACTTGAAAGCTTTGGGTTCACAGAATCAATACACGGGGATGAGGAAGGGGAGTGGGTCTCTCTGTCCAGCAGACCCTTTGCCTCTGGAAGGATTGGCCTTGCTGCCACACGGGACTCCTACTCCCCGACTTCTAACTGCCAGGGATGCTGCGGAGGGCCTGGCCATGCCCCTCCGCCCCCCATCTTATCCTTAGAGCCTGGGGACAGCCCTCAAGCGCCCTCACGTCCCTTAATGCAGCAGAAGGGCTCTGATGTCCACGATTTGTAAAATAAATTCTCATCCTAATCATGTCTTTCATCTTAGGACCAAATGCTTACTTTTTTCAGGCTAAGATGGGACTCTGTATCGTCTCCTTCAGATTTCAAGGGATTCTCCCTAATTCTCACATTCTAGGCACCAGCAGAACAACCCATGCTCCACCTCCCTTACCTTCTTGTTTTGTTAGCAATCGATCGCTCTTCTTCTTGGTCTTTCTCTCTGAGCTTTTCAGTTCTTTAGTCGTCACCATCTGTTCTCTCTATATGGCCACACCTTCCTCTAGCTAACACCTCTAAATTGTGTTGGTTTCCCATCCCTTGACCTTCTCCAATAGTGCTCCAATCTAATTGACCTTTAAGGCAGTGAGGTTTGAGGCAATGTTGTATCGGTGGCCAAACTGTTAAATCCAATTCTCTGGCTATTTCCAGGGCTCAGAGTTGAGGAGGAGGAAACTCAAGTCCCCTAATCATAATTCATTCCCACTAGCAAGAGCCATGAGATTCCGCGGAGCTGGGATGGGGGTGGCCTAAAGCAGCCAGCACAAAGGAAACATCTGGAAGATAAGTAGAGCCGCCTACCTTCTGCCCTCCCCCCATGGAGCATGCCCAGTGGGGCCGTCAGTGAAATCTCTTTCTTGGTCTCTCACCTGACATGAGTCCTATTCACCTGGGGCAGCCGGCAGCTGACAAGCTTGTAGTGGAGAAGGCACTTCTTTGAAGTGAACACCAGACCTTTTATCACTTCCCAGCCCTGCAGACTCAGTCACATGTCACACGGATAATGAATAAATGCATCACCCATGTGCTCTATGCATTTACTTTTGACAAGTGAGCTGGGGACCGGGCCCCCTTGCATGCTAATAAAATACACAGCAGCCATACTTGTAAAGTCTTTGAAATACAAGGCCTCATGCTAGTTGCTCCACTATTAAATCTTTGCTCGGAAATGGGGTAAGCGCACTGCTGGGACTCTTGAAAAATGATTATGTTTGACGATGAGCCCCCTTCTCCTGTCCACAGGCTATGGTTTCAGACAGCACGATGGCTTTGATAAAGTAGCTCCCAGGAACTAGATAATTAATGTCTCTGTGTTGCATGGAGATCGAGCTTCCAAGACTGTGGTGCTGAGAAGCCAACCGAGCAGGCTTCTTCTGGTGTCTGGACCACGGCGGGTTGGGTGTGAAGAAGGAGTTGCCTTTTCTTGGTCCCACCTTGCCCACGAGAGAAGAGGAAGGGTTCAGACTATCTCTACTTGAGACCCCAAGTCCCCTTAGTCAACCTGAGGCCATTTTCCACAGAGTCCAGGGATTTGGTGACTAAGAATGACGCCAGGGGGCTCCTCAGACCAGTGTCACCTGTCTGGTTCCCACTCTCCTCCAGTTTTAGGAGCCCGTAAAGGTTTTCCCATTCTTGGTCCTGTCCTTCCTGCAAATCTCATCCTAACTCTTGAGTGACTTTGAAAGATACCCTCTCTCCTTCCTGTAGAGCAGTGGTTCTCAACCTTGGCTGCACATGAGAATCACCTGGGAATCTTTTTAAAAATCCTGATTTCTGGGCCTCATCCCGGAAATTCTAGGCCTCCAATTCTCCTTCAATTATTTTCACTTCACTTTCATTCTGTTTCTTTGTTATGGGATGAGGCCACAACATTAGCAACAAAGAAACAGAATTTCCGGAGGATGAGGCCCAGAAATCAGGATTTGAAAAAGATTCCCAGGTGATTCTCATGTGCAGCCAAGGTTGAGAACCTCTGCTGGAGAGCGTCGGAGCTGGAGGGAAAGAGGTGGGCAGGCTCCTTCCCTCCGTCTGCACTAGAGCCAACGCGAATTTTCCTGGCCCCTTTCTCTGCACCGCTCACATCCACGGCGGTGACCTGAAAAGGGAGTGAGCCGCCCGCTCTGTGTGGACACAGACAGTTTCCAGCCCTCCGTACATACGGGTCCTTCCGACTGCACCTGCTCGTACCTGGTTGGCGTCCTCTGGCCTGGCCACCAGGCTGCAGCTTAGAGCTCTGCCAGGCCCTGTGCACAGCCACTTCGGACTCTGCCCTTTCCTGGCTGCTCATGTCTGTCTGTCTGTTTGTCTCTCCATCTCCAGCGCTGCCTCCCTCCTCACCACTAACTCCTCTTCTAACCCGCCCTTCAGCCCCCGACGAGCAGTCCATATGGAACGTCACGGTGCACCCCAACAGTAAATGGGCCAACATCACCTGGAAGCACAATTTCGGGCCCGGAACTGACTTTGTGGTTGAGTACATTGACAGTAAGCATTGCTGTGCGGGTGGTGGCGGCGGCGGCGGCGGCGGCAGCGGCGGCGGGTAGCGTAGATGCCGTTAAAGAGGTCCCGGAACTCCCCAGGCCCGGAGGCCTTTCAGCCTGGCTTAATTGTGACAGTGAAGTTGATATGTGCTCAGATGGCAATGAGGTGGGAGGAGTAGGCTGAGGAGAAAGAAGGGGCTTCTGCAGTCATTAGTGGGGTGTAGGGTTGCATGTGCCGGGGGGGCTCTGGGGTAAGGGGCCCTCCATCCGCCTCCTGCCCAGGATGAGGGTTCTGAAAGGCCTCCCAGACCTCACCTCTGCATGGATCTCCTTAGCTCCGAATCCATGTTTCCCGGTGTCTCCACGAGACGGGTGGGGCCGGTTCAGACTTGGGGTACAGCTGTGCTTTGCTCAGACGGATGCCAGTGGCCATAGTCAGACACAGACCAGGGTCATTAGTCTCAGGGAGCTGGCAGCCTGAGCCGAGGTGTTCCCACTGGGGACCCTGTGCAGATCTGCTAAACTGCAGAGCGATCAGGATATCTGCCTCCTCTGAGTGAAGGCCCCTGTTTGGGGGGATGGGGGTCAGCCCACCATGTAGGCCTTTATGGCATGTGCTTCAAGCACGTAAGCCAACTAATCCCTGGGCTGGCCACCTAAAGCTCTCTGAGGGAAAAACAAGCAACCCTTACTTCTCTGTGGTCGGAGGGGATTCACATCATAGGATCCAGGATCCCGAGTTCGGTCCATATTTTTTCAGCTTCCTACCACCACATCCACCCTACACCCCAGGTACCTGGGCACTCACTTCTCCTGAATTCTCCACACCGTGAGATGCTCTCTGGCCCTCTGACCCTCTTCAGGACAACAGCACTGGCTGATACCCTGAGAGATTGAGGAAGGAGGTCAGATATTTTAGTGTGTAGACTGTGGTGAGGAAGGAAACCCCCAGGAGAGGGGACAGGGTTCCCTGCTGAAGGGCCGTCACGTAGGAGTCAGCACTGTGTGGAGGGCTGGCATCAGAGCTGCCTGGGGACCTCCCGGTCTGCACAATGGCCTGGCCCCGCTGGCCCCTGGCCCCTTCCCAGGCTTCTACCTTCGACAGGTGGCAGGAGCCTAGCACTGCCTCTCCAGCTCCTCATGCCTGGCCCTGGGCTGACTGAGGTTTCTGTTCCCCAGGCAACCATACGAAAAAAACTGTCCCTGTTAAGGCCCAGGCCCAGCCTATACAGCTGACAGACCTCTATCCCGGGATGACATACACATTGCGAGTTTATTCCCGGGACAACGAGGGCATCAGCAGTACCATCATCACCTTTATGACCAATACAGGTGAGAGGGGATCTGGCCCGGCCGTCCCCTGCCAGCATGGGCATTTCATTCTCATCCTCTCCTCTCGGGAAGAAGACCCTCGCCCCCACCCCCCACCTTGCATGGCGCGTCTCAGCTCTTACACTTTGCAGCTCCCGGCAAGACAGGAGGAGCCGAAAGTGCATGCACAGTGGAGAGGCAGCCGCGCTTCTGACCCTGTGGGGAGTCCAGGAAACAGACTGTGGGACGAGGCGCCACCTTTGTTTCCCTGTGCTCCAAACAAAAGGGCTGGGTGTGTGCACACTGGGTCTCCGCGGTGGGTGTGGGGTTGCTGGAGTGTGCTATACCCTGTCCCGTGGGCACGGGCTTGCTTCCTGCCCGTGGGATTAGGGGACAGGGTCCTCCAGCGGCCTTGACCCAGAACTCTCTCCAAGAACCGAACCAAGGGTCAGCATGTGTGTTATCGCCTTGCCACTGTCATCTGTTGTTAAAAATTCCAAAATGTGTTGGTGAACCAGGTTGTTTGGGTTCGTTTTGGTTTAATTTTGGCCCTAAGTTTGTTGTGGCTTAAAAGTGATTGGCCGTTTGTCCTGCTGGGGGCGGGGAAGACGCTTCCCAGGATTAGGATCCTCCTGGCTGTAAAGGGAATTCAGCCGGTGATGGAAAGCGGCATCATTGGGCCTAGTGAGCAGGCCAACGGGGCTCAGGAAAGGGCACGAGGCGCAGACATCTCTGCGAGGCAGGTAGCTGGCAGTCTGGAGTCGTGAGGGCACTTGCTTGTCTGTTTGTGTATGTCTTTAAAATCAGACAGGCAGGTGGTACACTGAGCCCTGATGGGTTGGGGGGAGGGGGGAGACAGAGATAAAAGGGCCCGTCTCTGCCCCCAGGGATGCCCTAATCAGATGCAGGTTAGCAGACACAAGGACAGGGAAAAATTGCCACAGTGATTTATATGAACTCTACGTTGCCTTAAATATTCATTACTCTTCCTGTGCCTGGCTGGTGAGGCTGTTCCTGGCAGCTTGCGTCTGTGGGTCACTGCCCATCTGTATCAATGTCTGGCTCCACCCTTTCCAGCCCGGTCTCTCCTGGTCTGGGTGTCCTGTCATCCTCCCTGTGTCTCCGCCTGTCCTGCATATGTTTGTGCCATCAAGACTCAGGGAGTCATCCTGGCCCATGTGGCTCAGTTGATTGAGCATCGTCCCAGCACCAGAAGGTTGCCGGTTCGATTCCCAGTCAGAGCATATACCCAGGTTGTGGGTTTGATCCCCGGTTGGGGTACATATGGGAGACAACCGGTTGATGTTTCTCACATTGATGTTTCTCTCTCTCTCCCTTCCTCTCTCTCTAAAATCAATGAAAATATATATATTTTTTTTTAAAGAGCCAGGGAGTCTGAGAGTCCGGCTGTCAGCTTGACGCTAGCCAGGCCAACTCAGGCAGGATGTCTGGGAGCAGCCAGGCTGTCCTGGAGACAGACCAGGGAACTGGACAGTTGACCGAGTGGAGCAGGTGGCTGGACCCTGTCTGGCCCAGTCAGGGTCCCAAGCTGTTACCCACCAGCGCATGCATTTATGTGGCTTCATTATGAAACTGAGTCCCGCACAGAGGCAGGAAGCAAAGATGAGACTCGAGGATTGGGTTCTGTCCTAGGGATGCTGCAGACACCTGCTCAGCCTGCTTCAGAGTGAGGCTCTCCGTGCTGTGGGGGAGGGTTGGGAGAGCCAGGGAAAAGGACCAGGCCCTGTCCTCAGGGATGTCCCCGTCTGCTTTGGGGTATTAAACTCATAGGACAGAAAAAAAAAGATGATTGATAATCCACTTCTGAGCATTGACTCAGATGTTCGTTTCTCTTTTCCTGTGGTTGGCCGGAAGGGGCTGGTCCCGATAGCTTGCTTTCAGAGCGAGTGAGGAACGCAGTACCTACACGTTTCCCAGTGTCTCCCTTTAAGCTAGAGTTGGCAATGCAGGACCCTAGCTCTGAGCAGAGTGCTCACCCCCCTCCCTGGCCGGATGGGAGTCACTCTGTGGAAATCACATGGAAAGAAAGTACTGTCACTTTCTGAAGTTCGTGTGTGCCTGTGAGTGTGTCCAGGCCCTTCGAAAATACAGTGTTTCCTGTGGGTGGACTCCAGAGCCCAGTCCACAGTCCCCCAGGCGCCGGTGTCTCATCAAAGCGACGGTTTGTGAGCATCTCTGGACCTGACCGCTGGTCACTTAGGCAACCGCAGGCCATCACTTTAGTCCACAGATTGACACATGCTCTGGTGGTTCAGGAAGGAGGTGGAGGAAGACCACTGGGGTGTGACAGCCTCCCTGATCCTCACCAGAAGATCCCACATGGGAAGTCAGTCATCTCCTTGGAGCTCTTGAAGTCAAAGACGCCCGAGGGGCTACCGACACACAGCCCTGCTCTTCCATCGTGGGAGGCGGGGGGGGGAGGGGGGGGCAGCATGGGGTGAGGCAGCAGCGTGGAGGATGCTGATGGTGAGTCAGCAGGACAGACAGCATCCACCGCCGATGCCAGGGAAGGAGGGACATTAGGGCCCTAACTGTCGTCTGCCTCTCTCTGCGGTGTGCGGGAGAGACCCAGGACAGGGTGAGGTGGGAATGGAGAGATGTAAGCTGATGCTTCAGTGAAAGCAGCCAAGCCAAGTTGCATTTGAAGACAGTCCATCCCGTTATATTTGTTCATCCATCCTTATTTCTGAAATATGATTCCCCTGCCGTCCTTGAGTGGCTGCCCTCTCTTCCGTGGCCAAACCAAACTCCTCCCGGTTCGTTAGGAGTCATGGGAACGGTCTCTCTCGCAGCTGACTTGCTCATTCTGTGTGGGGTTGGAGGTGGTGTCTCCCCTGCGTGTGGTGTGGAAGACACAGAATATGGTCGCTGGTCCGCAGTAAGGGGCACTGGGGCCTGTGTTGGCCGGGTGAAGCCCACCTTACCCCAGATCCCACTTGGTTTGGGTTTGTTTTTTCTAATGGAGATATTGTTGGCATATAACATTGATTACTTAGTTTTTTTGTTTGTTTTTATTGATTAAAGTATTACATATGTGTCCTTATCCCCCCATTGCCCACCCCCCCACTCCCATTCATGCCCTCACCCCCCTGGTGTCTGTGTCCATTGGTTAGGCTTATATGCATGCATACATGTCTTTTGGTTGATCTCTCCCCCTTACCCCCACCCTTCCTTACCTTCCCTCTGAGGTTTGAGCATCTGATCGATGCTTCTCTGTCTCTAGATCTGTTTTTGTTCATCAGTTTACGTTGTTCATTATAATCTGCAAATGAGTGAGATCATGTGATATTTATCTTTCTCCAACTGACTTATTTCACTTAACATAATGCTCTCCAGTTCCATCCATGCTGTTGCAAATGGTAGGAGTTCCTTCCTTTTTACAGCGGCATAGTATTCCATTGTGTAGATGTACCACAGTTTTTTAATCCACTCATCTGCTGATGGGCACTTAGGCTGTTTCCAAATCTTAGCTATTGTAAGTTGTGCTGCTATGAACATAGGGGTGCATATATCCTTTCTGATTGGTGTTTCTAGTTTCTTGTGATTACTTAGTTTTAGGTGTACAACATAATGATCTGTTACATGTATACGTTGCATAATGACTACCACAATGTTTAATTAACGTCCATCACCACACATAGTTACAAAACCCACTTAGTTTGGAACAGCCTTCTGTGTCCAAACTTTATAGAAAATTCTTTGACCGTTTTCGTAAGGACTAAAGGTAACATTTGAACTTTGCAAGGTGAAGTCAGGAATGAAAAGCTGCATTTGCTTTCCACATTGCCCCTATGGCAGTGATGGCGAACCTATGACACGCGTGTCAGAGGTGACACGCGAACTCATTTTTTTGGTTGATTTTTCTTTGTTAAATGGCATTTAAATATATAAAATAAATATCAAAAATATAAGTCTTTGTTTTACTATGGTTGCAAATATCAAAAAATTTCTATATGTGACACGGCACCAGAGTTAAGTTAGGGTTTTTCAAAATGCTGACACACCGAGCTCAAAAGGTTCGCCATCACTGCCCTATGGCCACTTTCCCTGGAATTGTGACTTTTTCCTCAGGGAAAGGGGGTCTTGTAGAGACGGCTCTCAGCATGTATCCAAACAAGCATCAGGACGATGGTGGAGCAAACAGGCCGCTGCAGACATCCAAACCAGCTTCTCTGCAGAAGGTGGGGACCTCATCCAAACGCAGGCGGGAGTGATTCCTTCATCCCAGCGCCCAGGCGTGGCTCACGGTCCACTAGCAGTATCAGGGCAGAAACTAACACCGCTCATCATATCATATTAGGGTTAAATTGGTCATTAATCAGTAAGTAGTCACTGCCTGCTTGTTATGTGATCAGCATCATGCTAAGTACTAGGGGGCTCAAAGAACCCCCCTGTTCCCAAACTTTTCATAGTATCATTGGAAAGCCAGACCCAGGAAATACGGCAATTAAGTGTGACGTTGCCCGAAGTAAATGGAGTTCAGAGATTGGTGTTAGCTGGAAGAATGGGAGGTTCTGGAAGGAGGGTAGAATGAAGGAGAGCAGGAGGGATGGCAGTGCAGATGCTCTTGGGCAGGGTGGGGAGACCGGAGCACTTGGAAGGCCAGGCCTCATGGGAGTGTTCTAGGAACATACAACACAATGGTCATCGGCTCCTCGGGATCTGACAGGCAGAGGGTGAGGGGACCCTCTGGAGTGGAGCAGTGAGGGGAATATGAGAGACACTTCGGAAGGAGAAATGATAGCCCTTAGAGAGAGAGAGAATGGTGAAGCCACTGGCAGAAGCAAGGAGCAGGGAGGGGCAGGAGACTCGTTGAATTTCAAGTAGATGGACCATTTGAGGAGCTGTTAGGAGGAAGTGCTGGGCTTATGGGGTGGAACTGGCTGGAAGGACAATGAGAGATGAATAGAAGGATTGCCGGCGAAGGTGAGAGTCAAGGATGCAGAGGTAGGTTTGGGGAAGAGCCACTCCAAGGTGGTAGATGAAGCGACCAGCATAGAGGGACTTGAAGTTGGCTTGTTGGGGGTGGGAAAGGGGCTGGCAGGAACTGGAGACAAGGGAAGATTGAGTTTACCTATAAAAGGACAGTGCAGGAGCTGAGAGGCTTGGCGGGCTCCTCAAGGGTTTTTATTTTAAGATACAGGAAGCTTCAACTTACTTAGCAGCAGAAGGGAGGAGAGAGCAAAGAAGAGGAAATTGAAAATGTTAGAGTTTTCAGCAATCCTTTCAGGATTGAGCTGCCAAGGAAGTGAGGCCTGGGTCCCACCGCTGAGGGGGGAGTCGCTCCAAAGGAAAGAGAGAAAGCCCTGACACAGGAGAAGGGACGGTGATGGAGGCGGAGATTTCACTGGCTTCCAGGGTGGAATAAGTGGGTCAGGGCTGACCGGGTTGGGGGTGATGTCAGGGGAACAGTTTGGGAGGAGCAGTGGGAGATGAGTAAAGGGAATTGCCAGGCAGCAGTGAAGGCCCCGTTGACGCATGACACCGTGAATCTGAGATGGGCCTGGGTCTGCCTCTTCCTCCAGCAGGGTGCATGGCAAGAGCAGAAAAATGCAGAAATGGCCAAGGAGAAACCACAGCTGGAATTGAGTTGGTGCTGGAATGGGTGGCAAAAGGTAGGACAGAGGAGTTTGAGGTTAGCAGAGGCTCCATCAGGCCCAGAGAGGGTGAGTGGGCTGAATGGAGGGGAGGAAGTGGTGGTGAATCACGTGCCTCCTGTGTGTACGGCTCTGTCCTAGCACTGGGGAGACAGCACTGGACCCGACAGTCCCTTCTGCAAGGAGCTTACCTTCTGGGGGACGGACTAGAGCGGGAAAGAGCACAGACTGGGGTCACTTCTCAATGCTACCACTTACTGGCTCTATGACCTTGAGTAGATCACTAACCTCGGGGTCTCTGTCCTCATCTATAATTAGGGATAATAGTGCAAACCCACTTTATGGGGTTGTTGTGAGGGTTATAACAGAGAGTGTCTGGGGAAGTACTTAGAGCTTAGCCCACGGGAAGTGCTTACAAGTGGAAACTGTGAGTGATAGTAATATAGTGCCCCCCCCCCTTACCTGAAGCCAACTGCAATCTGGAAATATTACATTTCCCCAACCATCGGCAACGCCTGCTCCTGACATCCCGCCACCCACATTGTCATGGCTTGATGCGCCAGGATCGCCCAAAGTAGATGACCCTCCTCCTAACCTGTTGTCAGAAGGTCAGTAGAGCCTAATGTTAAGTCATTCCCCTCCGTCTCAAGGAGGCATTTACCATCTCACATCGTCACGGAAAAGGTGAGTGCAGTACAATAAGATACTTTGAGAGAGACCACATTCACATAACTTCTATTATAGTACGCTGCAATTGTTCTATTTATTAGTTGTTGTCAATGTCTCATTATGTATGATTTATAAATTAAGCTTTATCACAGGTTATGTATAGATTGGAAAAAACGTAGGGTTTGGTACTATCCACCGTTTCTGGCATCCACTGGGGGTCTTGGAACGTATCTCCTGCTGATAAGAGGGACTTGTGTGTGACTATCAAATGGTTATAAGTGCTATGAGTGTGTGACTATCAAATGGTTATAAGTGCTGTGAAGAAGATAAGTTAGAGTTCTCCGTGTGCCTGGGTCAGGCGGAGGGACTTGCTTTAGCTGGAAGATGCAGGAAGGCCTTTCTGAGATGACATTGGCACAGAGAGATCTGAAGACAGAGCAAAGGCCCTGGGCAGGAATGAGAGAGCCCGGTGTGGCTGGAGTATAGAGTGAGGAGAGCGTGGTAGGAACTAGGACTAGAGAGGAGGCCAGGGCCAGCTCGATGGGATCTGACGGGTCAGGATCAGGAATGGGACTTGGCCCAGTAATGAGACGTATTGGAGGCTAAGCAGGAGGCGATTTGATCCTATGGGGACATGGGGAAGGTCTCTCTGACACTGTGGGGTCGGCCTGTAGGAACAGGAGTGGAAGCAGGGATGGGAGTTTCCCCCACAGTGTGCATAGGTCAGGGTAATGAGCCATGTTCGACGGAACTCACCTGCTTCTCCCCCGGGCAGCCAGGGCTTGGAGGGCATGGCAGCAGTCGATTGTAGGTCTTCACCATTGATTGAGACCCTCTTGGCACAATGCCCTTGGCACGGTGCTGAGAAGCCAGTTCTCAGCCCAAGAGGAGCAAAGGGTGCAGTTGCATCCAGGTACCTGCTGCACAGAATAGCACTTGATAGACTTTGGAGCACTCTCCCTGCTCCCTGTGCTCCTCCCCAGGAGGCCCCGAGCCTGGGCTCTGACTCCACGGGCTCTCAGATCCTTCCTCTCCTCTGCATCTTGGTGTCCATGTAGGCTGCATCTCAGGAGGTATCGCTTTTGCTCTCCATTCCATAGAAAGGAGAATGGCCAGTGGCTCCTACCCAACCCGCACCCTCTCCTGAGCCCTAGCTGCAGCCATTGGGCCCTCAGGACACCATCACATGCCTGAACGAACGCCTATCTTCCAGGCTCACCCACATGGGCCTCCAATCACACAGCAGTCTGTCCACTTGGAGACAGTCTCTATGTATTCCAGGCAGGGACAGAGGGAGACTCCCTGTCATAGGGGAAGGCAGGGCGTAAGTCACAGCTAGGGGGGTGAAGTGCGCTAAAAGCACTTTCACGTGTGGAAGTGGTTCGGAGTGCGCTAAAAGCATGGCCCCAACCTCGCCGCCAGCCACCTGGGGTACCGATGCAGGACTGTCTTTGCTGTCAGGGAGCACGCAATCCGGTTGGGGAGACGTGAGAAAGCAAGGGTATCCTGGCACTACACCCTGCCCAGACCCGCTGCTCTGGGCCTATGTTCTTATAAGGGGGGGTTGCATCGTGACCACGCCCTGTTCCCTGATGAGTGGTACCCAGGCTTCGTTTTCTCCCCCAGGCTCATTCATGGGAATCGTACCTCTGTGGCCTGTCCGGGCCTATCCCTGGCTCCCCTCAACCCCCGCCGGGCTGTGACCAGCATGTGGTTTGCACAAGTGCCACGCCTCATCCTTAGGAAACCTCCCTTCCTAAAGGGCCTGCCGGCCTTCTGCTGCTTATTCTGCTCCCTGACCCCCTTCCTTGGCCTCTTTTCCAACCTTTTGACCTTGGCTCCTTAATTATTTTTTCTTTGTCTCTGTATCGCATAGTGTGGGCCAGAGGGCTGCTAGCTGGTAGCATGAGGCTCTAGGAATAACATCCCTGTGAAAGAGCTGAAGTTCTTTCCTCACCTCTCCCTCCTCACCTTCTCCCATGCGAGGTCCTTCACGTGTTTGCTTCTGGCCTCCCCGCAGCTTACACCAACAACCAGCCCGACATCGTCACCCAGGGCTGGTTCATTGGGCTCATGTGCGCCATCGCCCTCCTGGTGCTGATCCTGCTCATCGTCTGTTTCATCAAGAGGAGCCGTGGTGGCAAGTACCCAGGTAGGATGTGTCAGAGGAGGGGGCTTGGGGAGTGGCCGGCAAGCTTTCCTGTGTGTCACTAGGTCCCCTGCCAGATCCGGGAGGTGGGGTTGGGGGTAGGGCTGTTCTCAGTGAGCCTAACCCTAGCCAAGAAACAATCCTCTTGCCTGTTCTATGCATCTTAGACCTGCCAGAAAGCTCTTGAGGTAATTAAGTTGCTTGAATTGGGCGGATGGAGCCGTCCAGGCAGCTCCAGAGAGGGCATGGGAGGAACCCTGGTCCCTGTTAAGAATGACCCTCCTTCCCTTGACTCACCATCCATCTGCTCGGTAAATTGGCTTTTCTCAGACCGAATCTCATTAGAAACCTGTGTCCAAGAAGGAGGAGGAGAGGCATATGCTCTAACCATGAGAGAGAGTGTAGTGAGGAGGGTCTGGACAGAAGCAGCACAGCCAGGAGAGAGGCTGCAGCGTTGGGCTCGGCGTGGTGAGGACACCATTGCAGACACCCTAACAGGACAGCAGCTCCCACTGAGGAGCAGGCCAAGGCTGAGGGGCAGGACGCACTGACAGGGTCCCTCCTGGCCCTTCAAGGGCTTTGGGCTTCCCTAGAGGCCAAGCGGGCATTTCTCTTCTGTGGGCCTCAAGATCCTCCAGCCCAGACCAAGCACGGTCAAGGACAAGGACCTCTGGCGTTCTTGTTTCTGGAAATATTGTCTTCAAATGGGCCAGACAGCCCCCTGTCTGCGATGGATTGGGCAGGGTGACAGGAGTTAAGATAACGGGTGGCCCTGAGAGTGAAAACCCTGCCCGGTTGCAGAGTGAAATTGACCCTTGCCCCCACAGCCCTGGTGGCCACACACACCCCATGCGCCCAGTGCCTGCTCGTCTCCTTCCTTGAGACAAAATCCTCCTCCAGGACCCACCTAAACTCAGAGAGCGGACACTTCCTTCTTCCCCTGCCCCCTTCCCCGTAGTCCCTGGGACTCTGAAGGGTTGTGCCTCTCCCTGAAGTGAGGGGCGGGCAGGAAATCCTCATTCTTGTTCCGGTGAATGATGTTTTCTTTCACGTTGTGTGCTGTGTTGGGACTGTTTTTCTTCTGTAAGAGAGAAAGCCAGAGCTAGGGAGGTGGGCGGTCTGACTGAGTTCCTGTGTTCCAAATGGAACTGGACCCCCTGAAGAACTCCTCAGGGAGACAAAAGTGGCCCCTTAGAAAGCTCAAGGCACCAGGAGCCATGACGCCTGGGCCCGCGTCTTCACTCTAGACCCGTGGTCAGCAAACCACGGCTCGCAAGCCACATGCGGCTCTTTGGCCCCTTGAGTGTGGCTCTTCCACAAAATACCACATGCGGGCGCGCGTACTGTGAGATTGAAACTTCGTGGCCCACACGCAGAAGTCGGTATTTTGTGGAAGAGCCACACTCAAGGGGCCAAAGAGCCGCATGTGGCTTGAGAGCCGCGGTTTGCCGAGCCGCAGTTTGCCAACCACTGCTCTAAGCTGTTAGTTGCCAAAATGTTATGTGACATGTCCTTCCCCTCTCAACGCCTGTTTTCCTCCCCTAAAAAGGAGGTGATGATCCTTCTTTATACCCCAAAAAGGATACATAAAGTCATTCCTTCATGACCTGCTGGGTGCTAAGGATTCTAGAAGGAAAGACATCTCCCCCCTCAAGGACATGTCAGCGGTCACAGAAGGAAGAGCACAGCACAGGACAGGGCCTTGGTGGATGTTTTCCAATCGCAGAGGTGGGGGAGGGAGCCACGCAAACACCTGAGGCCACGGCACGCTCCGAGGAGCTTTGGAGAAGCACAGGGTGCCCCGCCCTCAAGGACAGAACTGGCGGTTCTGTCACAGGCATAGGAAACACACACACATAACTACACACAGAGCAGGGTAAGGAAGGTGCCACAGAGAGGATTTCACCCATTTGGTGTTTAGGGAAGACCTCGGGGAGGGGTGTGGGGGGCCAAGGGGGAGGAGCATTTACTAGTAGTTGTGGGTGGAGATGTAAGGAAGCCCGTGGGGAGGAGGAGGAGGAGGAGACAGAACCAACTTGGCAACTGATTCAATGTGGAAGCAAGAACAAGGGAGGCATCGCTGGTGCCCTGTCGAGAGGGAGAATGGGTGCCCCAAAGGTGGTGTCTCTGGCTCTGTGGTCAGGGTCCTGCAGAGAGAGACACACTCAGTCCTCACGTCTGTGTCTTTGCTTCTCTTACTGACCAAGTGCGAGAAAAGAAGGATGTTCCCCTTGGCCCCGAGGACCCCAAAGAAGAGGATGGCTCGTTTGACTACAGGTGGGTGGTCTCCCTGGCTCCTGTAGGCACGCAGTGCCCCCTGTCGGGTGGCTGCCCTCGCTGCCCTGAGCAGGGCCCTGTCCTCAGCAGCTGGCGTGGCTGACGGGCCACTGTGCTGAGGTCCTCCCCCATCGCCCATTGGCGGTCACCTCTGTCTCCCGCAGCACCTGCTCGTCCTGATTGTGCCGAACATGGCTGCCCCCACACTGCCCGACACGTGCGCGGCCTTTTCTCGTTCAGCTGCGCAGCTGAGATCGCTCGGGCTATTTACACGTGTTCCCAGCTTTTTACTCTGAAAACAAGCCCTGGGTCCTCTTTGCTATGAAGTGAGCCGGGCTCTCCGCTTCCTCTCTGCCTACACCCCATTCCAACCTGAAGATACTGTCCCGGGGAAGCTGGATTGTCCTAAAGGGTGGGCTAGGTGAGGGGTAAAGGGCATGGTGGTAGTGGGGGTGGGAGTGGGGGTGTCCTAGCCTTTTCCTCAGGAACTTGAACAATATCTCTGGGCTTTAGGCTGAAATAGGCCTTAGAGAAGCATCTGGGTCAGCGACTGTCCCAACTGAGAGGACTGGGGCCCACACTGAGCCGTGACCTGCCCAAGACTCACATTCGCCACTTGGTGAGCTAGTGGCAGAGCTGGGAGGCCAGGGGCCCAGCTCCCAGCTACGGCCGTTGTCCGTCCCCATGTTCCTTCTCAGGTCTGGACCGGCCTTCGTATCTGGCTTAGCAGAGTGGCGGTCTGCCTGTTTTGACGGCGAGTGTATTTTAAGTTGAGGAACAGTGTGTGGTGGGTCATTCCCAGACCAAGGTGGGTGGGAGGAAATGCTCTCCTCAGAGCCCTCCTTCCCCACCCCACCCAGTCACTCTCCGGGCCACGTCATCCCTGTCCTCCTCTGACCTCCTTATCCCTTCCTGGGCCTCCGCCACTCTGCCCATCCGCAGCCTGGCAAGCAGAGCAGATCAATGGGCAGCAGACTCACTGCCCACACTGGAGCCTGCCTGGCGGCTTACGGACCACGTCCAGCCAACCTCCCGTAAGCCTCCCACAGGGTAGGCAGGCGAGGCCCCTCCCGACGGTCCTCGGGACCCTGGTGGGGCCCAGCTCCTCCATAAGCTGTTCCCTGGTCATCAGGTCCCAAGGCTGTGGGGCGTTCTCTCCCCCAGACCCTCAGTGTAGCCACCGAGGAGGGGTGAGGCCCTCAAGCACCGGACCAGGCAGCCTGTGCTGGGAGAAGCTGTTTGCACAGGCACCGCTCCTCCCCTGGACGCCAAAGCTGGTGGGCAAAACCCCTGCCTCCTCCCCACCCACTCCTGCCCCGCCAACACTGAGGTTGGATACACATGCACGGACCGTGCACCCTCACGTGCACACACACACCCTCAGCTTTGGCTGGGAAGGGGGTGAGGTCTGCAGCATTCATCCTAGAGCCCCTACTGGGATGACTCCAAGAGCCCTAAACTGGGAAAGGGCTGAAATGAAGACATCAGAGGAAAAGACAAGTTTCTAGGCGCACAGGCCTGGGGCAAGGGGAGCACCTCTCGCTGGGGCTCCCTCTGCCTCCCCCCACACAAACCCTTGTCTGTCTACCTGCCCTTGGAGGCTTCTTGGAAGGTAGACTGACAGGAGGCTGGAGCAGGGTCCCCCGTCATCCTGGCTTCTCTCATCTTCCCTTCGAGAGGTGTGTCCCTTCCAGACCTGGGTCCTCCTCCCGGCCTCCTCCCGCCGAGAGGGCATCCCTTTCCGGTCCAGTGGTCACATTTACCTTCGGGGCCTGGAATGCCCTCAAGTCACAGACACAATCCTCATGTTTCTGCGGGCGGGGCGAGCTCTGGGGAGGGAATGCATGGGAAAGAGCCTGGCAGGCGGCGTAAGGGGCCTGGTAACTAGAATCTAGTTGCTAGACGAGGTGCAGCCCAATTTATGAATCGCTTAATAAAACCAATTTAGATCTTCAAGTTTTTAAAAACTCTGCTAGGTCTCAAAAGGTGAGCTCCACTTCCCTCACTCGGTCCCTCTCCAGCAGCACGGCCTCAGAACACAGTAGCTATGAATGGGGCCGCGATCACTCATAGTGTGGGGGAGAGTGGGCTGACAGCCTTCCATCTGCTAATGCCCAGCACCTCCGCTCTCACTCGCGCCTTCCCGACAGCTGCCTTCGCCCAGCACTGCTGTTAGAGGCCAGACCGCACTCCCCAGGATAATGGCCACTCCGCCTGTTTCCTGCACACCCAGGAAGGAGTGTTGAGTGTGGCCTGGGGACTGCGGAGGGGACGGTGTGTGTCTGCTCAGACCACCTGGCACCGCTATGGTCCCGCCTCCCGGGACCCAGATCCTCATGGCTGGTCTCACTGCCTCCTGCCTGGGCGCCGGTTCCCCTCTGAAGTGCAGCCAGCAGCACCCAGCCACCCTCAGAGCCTAAAGGGCAGTTTCCCAGCCGGGAGACGGGATGTGGTGCCTGAGCAGATGCTGGCCCACTGGGGTGCCTAACCTGCTGGGGGACCGCAGGCACAGTTGCCACCCGCCACCCTCACCACCAGCCTCCCAGCCCTCCCTGCCCAAGAGGGGCCTCAGGGAGCTACAGGATGCCTTTGAGCCGTTTCTGGTCTCACCTGTTATCTGCATGTCACACCCTCTTTCACTTGCTAGGCCCGAAGCAACAGCATCTGTTTGTAGATAAATGAGAGACAGCGCTGAGAGAAACAACACCTGGGCTGAGAAGGGGAGGGGCAGGGCCAAGGTTTGTTTCTTCAAGGCCTGACCCTGGTTTTCTGTCAAGGGCAGAGCCTTTCCAGACTAAGCCACTCATCAGCCCTGGCCGGGTAGCTCGGTTGGTTAGCATCATCCTGATTCACCAAGATTGCGAGTTCCATCCCCACTTGGGGCACATACAAGAGTCAGCCAATGAATGCATAAATAAGTGGAACAACAAATCTCTCTCTCTCTCTCTCTCTCAAGTCAATAATTAAGAAAGTTTAATAATAATAAAAAACCGAAGTCACAAATCACCAAGAGTAAAACTAGTCCAACCCCCCTTGATGGAGAGGCTAAGAGAAGGGCTGACCCATCCTGACTCCCATCCGCCTGGTCTCCCAGCAGTGGGCTCTGCCTGCTCCCTCCCACCCCAGAGAGTGGCCCAGCTCCATGGAGAGGACCCCAGCCCAGGAGTCCTCTGCACAACTCTCCCCCTCACTTGGAGAAGCTGTGTGGGCTCCGGGCCATAGTTTCCCGTCTGTAGAGCTGGCTGGACGGGGAGGGCTGGACTGGTGGTCCCCGAGGACCTGTCCCCTCGGAGCTGTGCAGCCCATCGTGCCTGTACGTGGCAAGAGGCCAGCCCTGCCCCGCCCCAGGTGTGGGCAGCACGGGGCCGGGCCAGCTCTGATTCTCTGTCTCTCTCCGGCCAGTGACGAGGACAACAAGCCGCTGCAGGCGAGCCAGACGTCGCTGGACGGCACCATCAAGCAGCAGGAGAGTGACGACAGCCTGGTGGACTATGGCGAGGGCGGCGAGGGGCAGTTCAACGAGGATGGCTCCTTCATCGGCCAGTACACGGTCAAAAAGGACAAGGAGGAGACCGAAGGCAACGAGAGCTCGGAGGCCACGTCGCCCGTCAACGCCATCTACTCTCTGGCCTAGCGGAGCCCGGGCACAGCCACTGCTTTCCAAGGCGGGGGAGAGGCGCAGGGGCGACCGAGCCACCGCCACCTTCGTGGACAGGGTACAGCGTGGGGGCCTGCCAAGCTGTGAGGACCACTGACCACCCAGCCAACCATAAGCCTCTCCCAATGACCCACACACCAGGTGCCATCGGTGGGGGAGAGCCCGAGCCATGGCCGAGCTCAGCTGGAGGGCACCCGGGCCCCTGCTCAGCCTCACAGCCGCCCTGAGCCTTCCCCCCGACACTGCCTGCCCTTGACCTCAGCATACACTCACCACTTCCTGTCGGTTCTGGTACTTGTCATTGCCTTTGTTTTGCTTTATGCATCTTCCCCTTCAGACCCAATGTCTCCACTTTCCCTTCCTTCTGAAGTATCCCTGGGAAGAGAAAGAATAGGTGGATTCTCTCTCCCCGCCACCCCTTCCCC